GACAGCTCTGTTCTACAGAAGATAAACAATTCTATGTAAGTATAGTCTATAGAAGAGAAGAATAAACTTTTCAAAAATACTTTACGCAACCATTTTGAGTCAAAGTAAGAAATTGGGATAGAGAGAAAACTACAAAATGAAATTGAGCATTCCAATAATCAATAAAACAATTTGTGATTTAATTGGCGACCACTTATAACACCTGAAAACTCGGTTTATATCATAAAACTCGGTTTTGGTGGCACTGGCACCGCTTTTTGCCCATCGCGGATTCTTTTGTGTATACGACGCGCGTCGGAATAATAAATTAGAAGTGTTTTGGTCTTATAAATTGGGTTAACTCTTTTGACAACAAACTTTTGTCATGTTAATCGAAATTGTAACAATGCTGCCATACATTAGCTAAACCTTTTTTTTTTTGTAATTGTTTATTTTTAAAAAGTTAGGTGATTTACGTGCATATTGAAAATTTGGTTTAACTTGACAAAAGTTTATTGAAAATTTGGTTTAAAAACAGATTTAAAACAATTTGGTTTTGTCTATAAATTATTTTCGACATTTATTGAAACAAAAAAAATAGGTGCATGTTTGTTATCTCGTATCTCAAATTAAAATTTTATTTTGAGAAAGATACAGTAGTTGTGAAAATAAATTTAAAATTTTTGTTATAAAGTAATTAAAATGTAATGACAAAATAAGATACCAATTGTCTCGCTGCAAAACTGATTCTCTCTACAATAACTGAAAACTGCTTTTGTTCGATTTTGATTTGTTTGCCAGCTTTGTTCAGAGCCGTCGACGGTTCCCTACTTCTTCCACATCCCTTTTTTAAAAATTTCTTTAGTAATAGTTTTCAATAAGAATTCATGGATCTATGTTGAAGAGAAAATGGAGAAGAAGAATCATTGGAGATTTCGAGTAGTTGGTTCGGATTCCTAATCAAACGGATTTTGGTTCTTTTTCATTTCATTGATATCTACAATTGAGGAGCGATTGGAGTTAAGAAAACAGTTTACTCCGACGACAGTTTATGATTTCATCTCTTTGTCGTTGCTTCGTAGTTTCGTCGTCGGTGATAATTACTGATTCGTCACGTTGATGTGCCATGGGTGATAAGTTTCCCCTCTTGTTTTGGTGTCATGTCCGCGTTTGATGTCTGGGTAACTGTTTTCTCTCTCAAAGGTATAGTCTATTTTTTATGACTTCTCAACAAACAAGACATGTGCCGGCTTTGTGAATCAGTTGTATATAGTTTAAGATTGAGCATACCAATGGTTAATTTGGTCTCTTATATCAAGTTACGGATGATACAAAGATGAGAGAATCACAATTGATACCTTTTGTATATCTTTCCTTATTTGTATTCATCATTTTTCTTCAGAAATTATGTACAAATTTTTCAAAATTAATGGAATGTAGTTGTTAAAAAATTATTTGTCGTAGAGTTTGTATTAATTTGATTAGTTAATAATTTTTAATTTAATCTTATCACAAATTAACTAGTAATGCAAAAATATATTAAAAAAATACTTTAAGACATGATAAAAACCACTAGTTCGTTGGTCAAAATCAACTTCATAGTTTTACATATTTTTGCTATTGTCCAATTTCAATACGCAAGAGAAAGTATAATTATAATTTTTAAAATTTTTATAAGTATTTATTTATGGAATATAGGGTTCTTGTTAGTTTCAAATTAAAATTTTAATGAAATATATATATGATGATGATATATGTAACTTACGTACAATGGGTTTAATTGTCATTAGCCTTAACCTAGTTAGTGGTCTCTTGTACATGTATAGATAGGTTTAATCCTCTTTCTAATAAGATACACATTCTACAATTACATGGTATCAGTACGCTCCTAAAAACCTAAATTTTCTGAAGAATCTCTCAGCGGCCAACTCTATGACTTCTTCCGACGCTACACCACAAACCCCATAAACCATTTCTATCAACAATGACACCATTGATATAATGCGTTTTTGGCGCATTCTAACCCTTGTTTTGTAGGTTTTTATCGAGTCTTTCACTCTCTATCGAGTCATTCTAGGTACAAAAAGTGGCTGGAAGCAATGACTGGAACTTGCAATCNGANNTGGCTAGAAANGAATGAAGTTGGACCCTTTTTGGACATTCTGGAGAAAGGGAGCACCTAGTACGAAAGAGGGAGCACCTGCTCCCAACAGAGTCATTAATGGGCCTTTTCCTAAACCTAATTTTCCAACCCTGTTTTTGGGCCAGCTGTAATGGGCCTTTAAATAGGTCTTTTTGCTGTTATTTGGGAGCAATCACGCCACAGCCACACTCACGAAGGACAGCAGCAGCATCACGA